GTGGATGTGGTGCCCATGAAGCGGGAGTTGGTGTCGGGTGGGGGGTGCTGCTTTGTCCCTGGACGGTGTCGAGCTTCTCGAGTTTTGTCGGAGCTGCCCCCATCCAGGGGCAAATGGGGAGTATTCCCTCCCCCTCCTGCCTTGTGCCTTGTCAATGGGGGGGACAGGATTTTGGGGGGGTAGGGGGGCTGGGGAGAGTCAGGACGGGAGTTACTCACTGCAGGATTCCCAGCCTCTGACCTGCTCTCGTTACTATTTTATTTGTTTGGTGAATCCAGTTGAGTTTCTGATCAATGCTAACCCATGTTGATAGTTGGGGTGGGGGGGTGCGATTCAGTGATGGTATGTCAAGGGGTGGCGGGGGTTGATGGTCAGATTCTCTCTTGTTGGAGATGGTCATTGCCACGTGTCAGCCCAAGCTTGGAGATTAACATGCAATGATGGTCGATTGTTGAGAAAATCCATCAGATTCGCTCATGTCCTTACCCCATCTGGGCCTCTGGACCTTACAGAGACTGGGTCAACTCTGGGTGATTAGGGGCCGAGTAACAGAAACCGTACAAATGGTACAGCACAGAAGGGGCCCATCTTAGAATCACAGAACCCCTACAGCTGGGAGGCAGGCCATTCGGCCCATCGAGCCCACACTGACCCCCTGAAGAGCAACCGGCCCCCTAGCCTATCCCCATAACTCTGCATTTCCCGTGGCTAACCTGCCTGGAATAGAAAGTAGAACACAGAAGAGTACAGCACAGTACAAGCCCTTCGGCCCACGATGTTGTGCCGAACTTTTACCCTAATCCTAAGGTCTATCTAATCTCCACCCCCTACCTTATACTATCATCCATATGCCTATCTAATAGCCGCTTAAATGCCCCTAATGAGGCCGGCTCCACTACCCTCTCCGGCAATGCATTCCACGCCCCCACCACTCTCTGAGTAAAGAACCTACCTCTGACATCTCCCCTGTATCTACCTCCTTTCACTTTAAAACTATGTCCCCTCGTAATAGCTACCTCCATCTTAGGAAAAGGTCTCTGGCTGTCCACTCTATCAATACCCGTGATCATTTTGTACACCTCTATCAAGTCACCTCTCATCCTTCGTCGTTCTAAAGAGAAAAGCCCTCAACCTTTCCTCGTAAGACCTTCCCTCCATTCCAGGCAACATCCCGGTCAATCTCCTCTGCACCTTTTCCAACGCCTCCACATCTTTCCTGCACATCCCTGGACGCTGGGGGCAATTTGGCGTGGCCCGTCCGCCCTAACCTGCTGGTACTGTGGGAGGAGACCCACGCTGACACAGAGGGGAGAACATGCAAACTCCACACAGACGGTCGCCCCCAGGGTGGAATCAAATCCTGGCGCTGTGAGGCAGCAGCGCTAACCACTGAACCACCGTGGTGCCCTAAAGACATCCACCAGGTGCCCTTTCTAAGCCCATCTTCCTACACACAGCCAGCAGTTCCTGCCAGCTTACAGCACTGAAGGTACAGATCCAGGGACTTTTTAAAAGGAGATAGTAGGAGCTGCCGATGCTGGAGAATCTGAGATAACAAGGTGTGGAGCTGGATGAACACAGCAGGCCAAGCAGCATCAGATGGGCAGGAAAGCTGATGTTTCAGGCCTAGACCCTTCTTCAGAAAATCGCGCGCGCCGCACACAATCACTCTGTCTCTCACTCTCGCGCGCACGCTCACAATCACACTCTCGCGCGCACGCACACAGTCACACTCTCTCCCTCTCGCGCGCACGCACGCACACAGTCACACTCTCTC